TTTCTCTAATATGTGGGTAATAATTCATAATAAGGAGGGAACTAGAGAAGAGAGTTACCTTAGAGTAGGTAGAAGGAAGTGAAGGGAGGGGAGGGGAGGGGTGTGGGGATAGGAAAGATAGTAGAATGAAACAGACATTATTACTGTATGTATATATGTGACTACATGACCAATGTGATTCTGCAACAACATGTACACTCAGAAAAATGAGAAATTATATCCCTTTTATGAATGATATATCAAAATGCATAAATGCACTCTACTGTCATGTATAACTAATTAAAACAAATTTAAAAATTAAAAAAAATATGGCCCCTAAAAAGAGCTGGAAAATGTATCTCTAGATGATAAGGGAGAATGTAAAATAAAAGATTTTACATTTTTCTAATTCTTCTCTGTAAAAGAATAAAAACATCCTAGAATGTCACAGTGCAGGTTAGTTAGAGAAACCTTACTCTCTGCCTATATTTGAGTGTGGGCATTGTTACAGGGAAATACAACCTATATCATTTGCCATACTCAACCATGTATATATTTTGAGTCATAATTGTTGACAAGAAAGTAATTACACATTTTCTTTTTAACCATTGTTTCCTCAATAAAAGTTGGTTGGGTGTGTGGGATTCTGCTATGTGCACTTGTTTTACATGAACCTGTGACCCTCAAACAGCTCATCAGCCATGCAAGAAATGGATTCATCTCACAGGATTTAATCTGCCCTTCACTGAGATATTTTATTTCCATAGTAGGGATCTAGCTCGGTTATACAGTATCTGCCCTGGCAATGGCAGCCTAGCAACGGGGTAGAATGCCGCCTACCCTGGGCAGAGCCATGGGGCACTAGGGCACAGAGAGATGTTAATTATTTACAGTGGTGGATTAGCAAAGCTGCAGAGGAGCTCATGGGCCACTGACTACTGGAGTTAATTGCTTTTCCATCTGAAGTACACAGGGATGATATGTTTATTTGAGGACCTGAAAATATGCTGGTTTAATTACACATTTCTTGGTGAATAAAAAGGATTTATAATGCAGAATAACAATTCAATTTGATCTAAATAAGTCAGATATTATTAGAATGATTCATTTCTTAAATAGCATTTTAATTTCTGCAAAACAGAAAGCTACTCTTCAGATTTTAAATAGTGTCCAATATTTGTGGTCTCAGGATGATCAAAAGCTAATATTAAGCCAGACGTGCACAGTTGCTGCTTAAGTCACATTTAAGAGTGGGAGACATTCCCATTATTAATAGTAACCAAAATGTTAAAATCAGAGATTATTATTTGGGGCAGAGGAAACACTGGTGGATGTGTCCTTGTGCCTGAGACCAAGCAGAGGAGACAACATCCATTAAGGGCCAACAATGCTCAGGTACTTCACATTATTTTTGTGAGTTGGGGTAGGTATGATCACCACTCCCATTTTATAGATGAGGTAGCCAAGACTTAGAGGACAGTGCAGCTTGCCCAGGGAATGAAGCCGGGCTCTGGACTCCAGCCTCTAAAGCTCTCCCTATTTTTACTACCCTGTAGGCCAGAACAAAGAACCTATGAATAGAGAAAGAAGACCAGATTGACCCAAAGTACAGCTTGGAAGGAATGGGCAACAGGGGACAGGGAAGAGCCATGGGGTTAGGAAGGAAGTACACCAGTTAACTCTGTTTTCATTCATGCCCATATTCCTACATCTTCCATTTTAGGTGTTTTGCTTCTTAGCTTGAGCCTCAAGCATGCTCTTTGCTGAGATGTAGCACGTCTGCCAAACAGAAGGTCTGGGCCAGAGAAAAGGACATCAGCTCGAGAGGCTGAAAAGCCTCAGAGAGATCTCATCCCATGGCAGCTGTGTGAGTTTGCTCAAGTTCCAAAGCCTTGGAGTCAAAGGGAAGAACAAGAAAATCATTAAACCATATCTGGCCACCTGAGACACATCCTGCACGACCTCTGCCCTTTCCTCTCTCCTTCTATTCATACAGATCGGCGTTGAGGGATGAAGTCTCTCCCTTGTTTCTCCCTCTTTCTCCCCCAGCAAATCCTTTGTGCATCTAATTCTGCTTGGTGTTTTCATCTTGTTACGACTTCAACTCCCAGGAACACTGTCCCAGCCATAAGTTATTATGTACTCTAGCATTTTGGAAGAAGGGAGCTTTGAGTGCCTGGTGGTCTTCAGCTGTTTTTTTGGACATATGTGACTCCATCTTTATCCCAAGTGGTACTAGACACGCGTAGGGGCTCTTTACAGAAGGTTGAGATATCTGATAAGCAGTTGGAACAAGAATTCACAAATCTTGGGTTCTGGCTGCTAATGAGACCCCATTGGTGGCCACAGGATAGGGACATGAGAGGACTTGGAAAAATTGAGTTTCCAAACACAGAATGAAAATATATTAAACTGATAGTAGTTGTAGTCACTAATATGATGAATCCCATGTTTAGTCTCTATAGCATAAATGTTGTAATCATTTTGTATTTGTAAATTAGGGGAAATAATAGCAAAATGTTACTTATGGCTTACTAAATACTAGTCACTATACAAAGTTATTATTATTATTATTATTATTATTATTTTGTACCAGAATTGAACTCAGGGGCACTCAACCACTGAGCACATCCCCAGCCCTATTTTGTATTTTAGAGATGGGTTCTCACTGAGTTGCTTAGAGCCTCACTTTTGCTGAGGTGGGCTTTGAACTAGTGATCCTCCTGAATTAGCCTCCCAAGCTGCTGGGATTATGGGCATGCACCACTGAAGTTCTTTTCTTGATAACCAAGGCAGACACTTATTCAATATTCATTATTTACCCCATCTTCTATGCTAATAAAATCCTGATTTTGAGAAAACAAAGTGCTTAGCCCTCTGTAGTGGTTTATGTCACATACCCATGACCACTCCTGTTCTCTGTAGTCTAAGCATTTTTTGCACTGAGGGATGGAGGACTGGATTATGGAATACACGTCCAGAAGATTATAGGTGAAATTCCTCACTCCCTTCAGGTCTTTGCTCAAATATCAGCTTCACTGGTCACCAGTTTAAAAGTGTAGAGTCTGGCACACAGTAAAATCTTAATACTTTTTTTTTTTTTTTTTAGTGAGTGCATGAAAATAAAACAAGGACTATCTCTGGAGAAGGTGCAGTACCTAGGCCTTGGGTTTGGAACATGCCTCACACATTTAGTGAATAGGAGGTCAACATGACTGGTGTAGGTTTCATGGAGGAGAGAATGAGTGATGAGACCCAGTAACAATGAAGCACACGGAGGCTTGCAGGCACGGTAACAACTTGAGCTAGGAAGCCGTGGGAAGAATGATATAGCACCTGACTTTCATTTAAAAATAGCAGCCTAGCTGTCATAGAGCGAGAAGGGAGGTAGAGGACACGGAAGCAGAGAGAACCAGAGGTGATGGCAAACTCCAACCTGGTGATTATGGTTGCTTGGACCATGGTGAAGCTGTGAGGGAGGAGGGACATGATAAGGTTCTGGCTGTATATGAAGGTGTACTCTACAAGATTTGTGAGCAGATGGATGTGGACTGTGAGAGAAAGAGGGCGAAGGATGACCCCGAGCTTTTTGGCTCTAGCAGCCAGAAGCGTGGTGGCTGAGAGGATTGTCAGGAATGGGTTTTGGAGGGAAGGAAGGTCAGGCACTCAGTTTGGGGCATGTTGAAGTTTGAAATGACTATTACCTCCAAGTGGAGATAGAGAGTCAAATGGCTCCATGGCTCTTGGTTTTATGGGAGAAGTCCAGGTAGTTTTTAAGACCATGAGACCTGGTGAATTCAACCCAAGATCCAAGTGCAGAAAAAAGTAAGACAACTCTAATAGGAATTCATCCGAATAGAAGCAGAAATCAAATTTTGCGCCTACTGATCACATTGCTTTTGTTCTTCTCTCCAAAAAGAGCTTCCCCTGTGAGACTGCACAAATTATAGGGCCATGTGCTAAACACAGTTCTAACAAATAAAATCTAGAGATAAACACATTT